GCCTAAAATATATTTGTATGGCATTTGCTTGTATTGAGAAATGTATATTATATTATATAAGGAATGCAGTTATAATGTAGTGATTTGACCGACAAATACACCAAATTATTGGTTTCACATCATTAGCTGTTTTTGCTCCGGGCTATTCATTGAGGCACTCAGGTAGACATGATTTGTAAGAGAGAGAGAGAGAGAGAGAGAGAGAGAGAGAGAGAGAGAGAGAGAGAGAGAGAGAGAGCTAATGCTAGTGAGTGATTGAATCATCTGATACCTAGAATGTCTATAATACAGGTGCTTCCTTTATTAATTTTAAGACTACTAATATGATCCAACATGAATATAACTATAATTGTAAATTTATAAATAATAGTTATTGTTATGAAAATAATTAATATTTTTAACAAATAATAGTTTACAAATTAACTTTATTTAAATAATTTATTTTTTAATATATTTGTCTATAATACAGGAGTTAATATATATGATTGGGTCACTATATGCATATACTATTAGAAACTCTATTTAATAAAGTTTTTATCTATAATTTAGACTATTAATGAATTTAAGTATAACTTATAGTTAAAATTGACAAATACATGCAATAACAGAGTGCTAAACTGCATAAGAATTGTAATAAATATATTTTATTATTTTTGAGACATTAAATTAATATTTTATTTAATAAATAGTGTTATTTGCGTTTCAATAATAGTTAGTTTTGAAGACACGAAAGCATATTATCAATTGCTATACAAATTGTTATTATATATTAATGAAAAAGCGATGTAATACTTAATATTTTAAAAGAAAATAATTTGATGTATGAATTATATTAGCAAATCAATCACTAAATTATACTCTTTTGACTTTTTCTCAGATAATTTTCACAAATATATTTATAATACACATTCACACATACAGTATTAATATCTAATGTACTAAAAAATAAGATTTGAAAAAATGAAACCTATTTTTAATCTAATTGCAAAAACACGAAAATGTAAAAATTATATCGTTATAAATATTTATTTAAAATAACATAAAAAATATTTTTATACTATATCTAGTGGACTTTTTATTAAAAATTAAATATAAAAATTTTAATAAATTTAAAAAATAATTTATTATAATTAAAAATTTATGAATAGTACCAAAATAAAGCAATTATCGTACTTATGATAAATTAAAATTATAAACTTATTATAATTATATCAGAGTTAAACAAAATTTCGATTCTTAGGTCAGTTAATGAGTGGTTGTATTGGATTTCTAGAAACTATTTTCTATATAAAAACTAATTATTAATATTTAAATGTTTTTCAAAATTCAATATTTTAAATATAATTCTCTTTATATTTATGTTATTGTTTTTATAGATATATTATTAATTATTTACAGTGAGAAATTTTACAGCAATTAATATTAAAATACATATTATATAAAGTAATTTCCTAGAAATAATAAACACAATTGTGAAAAACAGCGCACATTTTTACAGCACTTTTTTACAAAAAAAATGTTAAAATACATTATTTCTTTTAATTTAATAAAATAAATAATAATACATTTGTGGTCAGTATTTGTTGTAAAAAAGTGCAGAAAAATGTGCGCTGTTTTTCACAATTGTGTTTATTATTTCTAGGAAATTACTTTATATAATATGTATTTTAATATTAATTGCTATTTCTATAAATATCTAATAGTCTAAACTAACATATATAAACTTTAACTCTGTATTAGTTTTAATAATTGTTTTGTCTATTATAATGTGATCACTTGTCCAGTGCTTTAATAAATGTTTTTTAACTTTAAATTTATATTCAAACTTGTATTGCATTTTATCATATTATAGTACAGTATATGCTAATAATTAAAGTAAATTAATGTAATTATAATTAATGTATTTAAAATTATCACATTAATGACAAATTTTGTCTAATATGTACAGTTAGTCATGTAGTTAGAGTTAGCAAAAAATAAAATTTCTAAAAATTAAAGAAAAGTTTCTAAAAGAAATTTCTGTCTATTGGATCACCATGTTAATTTTGTTTTATGAATTTTTGTTATTATGTTATAAACTATAATTATTTTTATATTAACTAAATATTATTATTCCTATTTTAATTAATATTAAAAGCCAAACAATTATTATATTTTATTATATATTTTATGATTTTAAATTAAAATTATTTAAATAATGAGATTTATATAAATTTTAAATTATAAAATATATTTACATCTGACTTTTACATAGTATTTTACAGTACAGTATAATATAAATTTATATAATTAGACAATAATTAGTAATAGTGTTTATGGGAATCCCATAACATAATGAAAAGTAAAATTTCTATAAAAAAATTTTATTACACTTTTATTTCACTTATTACAACATTTCTACTAATATTTCTGTTAATATGAAATCATTTACGATAAACCTCTAATGATATTATATTGTATATTATATTCAACTGTGTTTCACATTCTCATCAGTAATTAATAACATTTATAAAACTTTTTATTTTTAGTAAAAAGTTGTTTCGCATCAATGAATCAAATTATTTCTGTAATTTTCATTTTAAAACACATACACATACTGTATAAACATTTGTGTAAAAATATTTAAGTATTAGTCAAATAAAAACGCTTTTTAAATATAAATTATTAAATAATTTATTAGTAATTTTGTTTATTAAAATTAAAAAATTATTTAAAAATCACTTTAATTGACAAATATTTTATTTTTGTTATCCAATAATTTTAAATATATTTTTATATTGAGAATATTCTGTACAATAATTAATTTTTATTTTAAATATTATTACAATAAATTTATTTAATAGTTCCTTATAATTTTTTAAATGTTGTTAGATATATATTTACAATTTATTATATAAAAATTTATATGTTTTCACGTATATAACAACAAATTTTATGAATGGTATTGATTTTTAATATATGTTTTTATATATAAAAAGTTTTTTGTGTTTATTTAATAAAATTCAAGTAGTTTTCAATTATATAAGAAATAATATAAATTATTTGTTATATATATATTTTTTAAAGATATTAAAATTGATTTTGTTTAAGATTATGTCAATAATAAAATAATAATAATAATTAAATCAATAGTTATTATTATTAGTACAAAAAATCAATAAAAAAGATTTAAATCTTATTATAATAATTGTTTTTCTTAATTTACATTATAATTGAATGTTTAATTGGTAATTTTTTTATAATTATTTAATGTAACAATAATTTAGTGATGAAACACCCATTTATAATATGATATAATCTCAAATATGATGTCAAAAGTCAATTGAGTTTTGTTTGTTCACTAAATTATTATATGAAACATGGATTTTATTGCAATTTTCAGATGCCGTCTTTAAATTGCTTGTATTTATAAAAATGTTGTGAAATACAATCACAATGATCATCATTATTATTATATCCGTGAAAATGAGGCAAAATAATGATTGGAAACAACAATGACTTCACAAAATTGGCTAAAAATAAGAAACAATAAAATGATAAATATTATTATTTTATATATAAATTTAAGATTAACTTAGACTCTAGACATTTATAATTTTATATTAAGTTTAGTATTGTCCTCATTATTGTTATTATTATTATTATTATTATTATTATTATTATTATTATTATTATTATTATTATTATTATTATTATTATTATTATTATTATTACTTTAATTATTTTGCTTGAAAATAAATTATTTGCAGAATATTAGAAAAGCAAATAAAATAAAATATAATAAAATATAATATAATATACAAATAAATAAGAAAAAATGAAAGTAAGATAATGTAATAAAATTAAATCTTAATGCAGTTTTGTAGCAAATAAACAATTGAAGTTATTTTTTGGATGGACTGTATGTCAGTGCTATTACTTGTAGTATAAGTGCTGGGCTTATAGTAGCAGTCAATGGATTATATATAAGCATTGAAAGGTCGATACAGGAGTTCATAATAAGAGTGAACTAAATTCAAAACAATTGGCAATACATTCAACACTTGAGGGATAAAACAGTTTTATAAAGTTTTGGTACATATGGTTATGACAAGCAGTCAATTCATTTCATTCATATATTTTTGGGTCTTATATTGAGTTTTTTGTTCAGATTTATATATTTATATAAAAAATATTATTTATAGATAATATATGAGTACAGTTATGGACTTAGTAATTGACTTTAAAGTTTAAATCATATATTAAATAGATTTACATTTGTTTCTGTCATATTCAGGTAATAGCCAATTATATGTCAAATATAAGTAATTTTTAGTTTAATTTATATATAAAGCTTCTAAATTTAATAAAAAAATAACTTCCAAAAATTGTTTGCAGAAATTTTAAATTCAATTTTTAAACTACAATAATAAATTTAAATGCAAAATAAATGTAAAATTTATTATCAAAACTTTATTAAAATAAAGTAAAACTAATTAAATTTATATTAAAATGCTATCTTATTATTATTTACATCAAACCATAGATCAAACGTCACGATAAATATAAGAGAGTAGGCTTTAACTGTCATTTACACAATAATTTTGACTTTTATACTAACTTTTGTTTTTATGCATACATTTGACCCTTTTTTAATACAACATATTATATAACAAGAATCTAATAAATAAATTAACAAACAAAATGCTAACAAATCCTATGAATACAAAAAAGGTTGAATTAATGTATAATAATAAAGATAGCAAAGGGTTGGGCATTTGATGGCCATATATTTATATATGAATATAAAAGCTTTATTTTACTAATACAATGCATACAAAAGCGTTGGCAACTAATTGGCTTTAAAAACAAAAGAAAAACTTTAATGTCATTCACAGCAGTTTTGCGATTATATATTAAATATGTAATGAAATTCTTGCCTTTGATTTGGTTATCAATAAAATAAATTTTATTTGTTTCAAAAACGTTTGTATAAATTTATGACCAATTGTTTTATGGACTAGAAATTTATATACAATGATGAGGTGATAATTGTATATTAAATAAGTGCTGAGACATAGAACAGGTAGGCTAGACATCGGTGTGTTGATGAGTATTGATATCATCATTGCTTCGGATGGCTTGCGGAGGCAACACCCGAACCCTCCGCGGGTGTTGTAATGTACTAAACACTGGATGTTGTGGCGGACAGTTGGCTATAATATAATTAGTATTAAGTGCTGGCAGTGGATGTGTTGATGAACTCGACAGACAATTTGAAGGCACTTGTAATGGCATTTCAACATATGATACGTTCTTTAACTAAATTTTTGTGATTTAGTTGCGTTTATTAACAAATGTTATTCAATTTAATTGAATGTAATATTACAAGATTTTATTGAAGATTTTGATGATATTTTAGTAAAATATTGTAGATTTGTAGATATAATTTGAAATAGATAAAAGTCATAAGTATTAGATTAGTATGTTTTTAGAATAAATGTTGAAATAACAAATTATTATATAAAAGGGCAAAATAGTGAGAGAGAGAGAGAGAGAGAGAGAGAGAGAGAGAGAGATTAATGATAACAAAAACATAATATTAGTAATCAATGATTAGATTTTTGTAAAACACCAGAAATAGTGTATAAACAAACTATTAAGCAATTCGTGAAGTAATTAAAACAATAAATTATATATTTTTCTAAACTTTTAGTTTGTTTTGTTGTCAAAACATAATATAAACCAAATATTTTATTTGCTTTTAGTTTACTTTTCTGTTTCTTCAAGACAGAGATTGAGTGAGTGTTAGCTTTACATTGATTTTCAAAACTAGAAAATAATTCAATAGAAAATTGTTTGATTTAATATTGATTTTGTTTGTGAGTAAATCCGAGACTCGTAGCAAAAAAAAATATAAATTTTAACTTAAATTTGGTCAGAAATTGATTGAATTTCTAAATCTCTAAAACTTTATAAGTGATAACAAAATAAGTTAATTGAATTTATAAATAACATATTTCAATATACAGTATTTTCCGACTCTCATCTAATATATATTTCATACAAATCCCAACATTTTTCATTGAATTAATACTAATCTATAAATTTTATTTCAAATAAATTACAATAAAGAATTGTAAAGACAAATATTTTCTTAGATTTAATTTCTGGTAAAGAAATATCGATTTTATTTTAAAACATATTTGAAATAGATATAAACTAAATGAAAATTGGCATCTATTTGTGTCATTAATTTGTTTTAAAACTAAATAATTTATACGTTTCATACAAAATACACTATAAAACTATTAATAGTTATATACCGGTATATCATAAACATTATACTTAATTTATATTTTGTATTTAAATTTTTCTTATATGATAAAATAATGAAAATATACATTTAGATATAAATTATCTAAATGAATATAAATAAATGTAAACCCTTATAAGAAAAATTGAAAAATAAAAAATGACAAAACTGTTAAACAATAATATAGATATTATAATATAAAAATAATTTTCATTTAGTAAACTATTGTGATTTTGAAGGCAACATTTGGTATGTCTCTTGAGGCTCATCTCTATTTGGTTTTAAAAATTAGATCTCTTTCTCTCTTTATGTGCGGGAATATGTGTTTGTCATATAATTTAAATGGTTTTTGGGTTTTAGCATAAAATGACTTAAAAAACGATAAAAAGAAAGGGAAGGCTTTAATAAAGACAACGAGATATACAAATCATACCGTTCTGTGGTTTGATGGCGGAGATGGTGGTGGAGAAGCCCTCCAATGGGCTGTCGTGTTGTGCGGATTGTGTTGAATCTGGTGGTGATGGAGGCCATCGGGACCGCCATTCATACCATTACCGTAGGCTTGTGTTAGTGGTGTTGTTAACGAGTTGTTGCACTTCTCGCTCATGTCGTCATCGATCTCACTGTTTCTGGTGATGGCCTCACTCGAGGCTAAACTTATATCTGTATTAGTCATATAACAATTTAAACAATAATTTATATTTATATCAAATCATGAAATTGCTTTTTTATATTAAAATATCAATAATTTTATGCATATAGTGTCATACAATTTTGTATTAAAAAAATTATAAGAAAATTATAGTATAATTATAAAAATATTTGAATACTAAAATTTTAAATTAAAAAAAAATATTAATAAAGTTAAGGTAATATTTTGCAAATTTAATAAATAAATAGCATAAATTTCTTAAATAAAATTATAATATAAATATTTATAGCAAAATTTATGGACATTAATCATAAAATTGTTTCAATTAAAGCAAAAGCATTTTAAAAATTCATGTGAAGGAAAGTTATGCAAAGCTAGACATAAATTGATGATATGGTTTGCAGTGTACATGCATTTCATATGTATGGCAACTGAACATCACATACGCCTATATAATATAATATAAAGTAATAACACAAAAGTTGTTGCAAATTGTTTTCCAATAAATTGATACAAAAAATACTAAAACCGCAAAATATATGGCAAACAAGTAATGCATTTGCATATAAAACGAGACTATAAAAAGTGCCAAAAATGTTTAACCATTACATTCAATGCAAAAAAATGCAATTCTATAAACAATGTAAAACTATTGCAATAAAACAAAACGCAATGTTTCTAATGTTTAATAAGCAAATAAGCAACAATATTAAGTGTGCCATTATCTGTACTACTATAATAATAATGCTGTTTATATGTATTGGTAATGTTAGTACCACTAAATTACCTGGTATAATATCTGGACACTTATCATCACCCACTTGGTCCCCCCCACAAGTGCATACATCGCATATGTCTTCAACCGATTTTCTAATAGCGATTGTTGTCTTGTCTTTTATATTACGATTTTTTGCTATACATTAAGTTAAAAATTTTATAAAATTTTAAACTTATATCTATTAATAAATCCCTTATATGTTTGATATGATTTAAAAACAATTAAACTAAAGATCACATTTTATTTTTTAAAAATTGTTTAACAATTGCATTGCTTAAAATCTTAAGTCATTTTTATAATTAATTTTAGTTAATTTTATAAAAATACTGGATATAGATTAATGATTTTAACAATATTATTTAAATTTGTAATGAAAAAATTAAAATTTACTTTACATTAGGATAACTAATATTTATTGTATATAAAATTATATTACATTAAATTTATTATTTAAAATAATTTTATTAAACTACTTATTTTTTTAAATTATAAAAATTAAATTAAAAAAAAATTATTTCAAAATTATATCTATAAAATCTCTCAAAACCATAGGGACAAAAAATCTATGAAAATCTATGAGCATATATTAAACTTATTAATTAAATAAAAAAAATATTTTTAAATATATTTTTAATAGTATTTTTATAGTAAACAATCAGTTTTAGTTATTTTCCAATATTAAGCTATGTTATGAAATCTGTCATTTAAATATCAATATATTTTTTTAATGAATTAAAGTTTAATATAGAATTTGTATAATTCGTCCGTCACTTTTTAGCTTAATTTGTAAACAAAATATTAGCAAAAATAATAAAATTAAAATATTAAAAATTATATAAATTCAAATAATAAAAAAATCTTATTTGCAATTAAATCTAAATTGCTAAACTATTTTAAGAAATTTACCAAATTTGTTTAAAATAAATACATTCAAAAAGTTAATGTTTAATAAATTTTTTAAAAAGTTATTATGAAAACATTTTTCTAAAATGGTAGTATTTTAAACAATAAAATTTAATATAATTTTACTTTCAAACCATATTATTATTATCATTATTAATACTTAGAAGTACTACTTATAATATAATATAAATATTACTTAAGATTAATTATATTATAATAATACAATTATTGTATTCACATAAATTAAAATTGTTATTTTTGTATAATATCTATTCTGTATAAGTAAATACTGTACTGTAAAATAATATACTGTTTGTCTAATCTAAAGTAATAAAGCTGATTATTATTTGTTTTATTAATTTATTAATTTGAATTGAAAGTAAAAATATTTCATAAAAATGTCACATAATTTATTGTTTTGTAAAATTTGCAAAAAAAATATGTAAAAATTCAATTTTATGACCATCTTTCCCACTGTGATTTATACATATATAGCTATAACATTATTAATATTTTTAAAAATATTGTAATAATAATAATTTCATGAATTTCCTAGAATTTTATTGAAATATTCACTAATATATTGTTAAAAATTGAAATGTAACTATTATTTGTATATAAAATATAATATTAGATGTAATATTTGTATAAAACATTATTTAATAATGATATTGATTTTTCAGTCTATAAAACATTAAGAAATACATAAACTCAATATCATAGAAAACATATGAAAACTTTTGTTATCAAAATATATATACTTTTTGGATATAAATTTTATAAATAACTAAAAAGGAAAAGAATTTTAATATTCTTTAGATATAACTCTAACTGAATGTTAGTCTAAAATACAATCAATTCTCTGATATGTCTTAAATTTTGTATCAAAAAAATATGACCCAAAAGAAAGTTTATACCAATTCTTACAATATATTCACACAATATATACAATACATTGACTTAAATCTTATTTGAATTTTTTGTGATATTTCTTTTGAGTCAATCTTTGACTTTTGTCACCAGTTTTGTTACTAAAGTGGTTTACGAGATATGAGAGACAAACTGATCAAAAATATTATAGTATAAAAAATTTATTCAATTCATTACATATCCCGAAGCTATAAAAACATACCGAAATACAAGTGAAAATTTGATAACATAAATGTCACTCAAATTTTTTTTATTCACATATAAACTCATTTTTTATTAATAATATTGCTATTCAAAAATTTCCAGTATTTGTCGATTGTTATGAGAAAAAAAAGATGACATTTAAATAACAAAAAATATAAAAACACTTTCTGTTAATATGAGGTTTTGAGTATTTATAACTTAATATAATAGTTTAAAATAGTTTAACGCAATAAACATATGAAGACTTAAATCATTCAAACAACACTCGTATTGAATATTCAATTATATAAACCAATGATTTAAATATCAAAATAAATATCAAAATTCATTTTATTTTTACTTTCAATTATATATTTCATGAAAATCTTTTCTAAAGCCAATGATTTGAATGCAAAAAGTTTTTAGAAAATGAAATAAAGAATGAAAGAAGAGAGAGAAAGAAAGAAAGAAAGAAAGAAAGAAAGAAAGAGAGAAATAGTATAGTTTAAGTGAAATATCTACTCATTTAATGTTACGAGTGTTTTAGGAGTAAGTGTTGTCCATTTGAGGACTAAGTTTATGTCAATTTATTGAATTGTCGGTCACTATTGAATGCAATTGTCTTTCTAAACGATAGTATTTCCAATGAATACTATAGTATAGTATGCAATATAAATGGCACATCACTTACCTCTTTCATTACGAAGTCGAGCAGAACTGGACCTAAATTTCATAACAATTACGATAACAAAGGCAATGATGACGAGTGCACACACTATGGTTATCAGTAGAGCCAGCACTGGGCTAAAACTTAACTGCCATACATTGCCTGAAATATAATATATGGCAATAAATAATATAGAAATATATTAAAAGAAAAACTAAGAGTTAGTGATAAGGTTTTTCCTCTATTTATACAGTAGTAATGATATCACAGACAACACACGTTTGCACTTCAAAACAATACTAAAATATATGATATGTTATAAATGTTTTTTTTTCTCAAAATGAGTTTTTCCTATCATATAAACTTTATATATAAAAATACCTATTTTTCGAAATCCTTTTATATGTTTTTATATAAAATAAATTATAATTATTATACTTTAGTTATTGTCTAAATAAAAAATTTCATTTTTCACTCATTTCTCTAAATATTATCAGTAAGACATCCCTTTAGGGATAGGAAAAGGAAACAAACTATTATTTATTATATTATATAACTAAAGACACAATTATAGATTGAGATATACTGTACTAACTCAACTCCCATAACACAAAAAAATAATGAAATTATTTACTATTATCAGTAAATAAAACTTCAATTTAATATATATATATATAACTTTAAAATAAAAAATAATTTCCTCTTAAATAGATTGATAATTTTTTTGTAAATACCTAAAATAATTATTTATCTACTGAAAGAGTAAATTGAAAATTTAATCAATTATTTTGTATGATAGAGATGGGAAACAAAGATAACAATAAAAGTAAAATTGTTGTATTGAGTGTAAAACTAATTGTAATCAAGTAATATATCACTTGGCATTTGGGACTCACTTTCCCTCAATAGGATTATCCCAAAAGTATAGCGAAAAATGTTTGTTTACAGTGTGTTGTCATGTATTTGAACGAAACAATCGATTAATGTGTTTGTCTGTGATGTGCTGTTAGGTCAAGAAATGGTAGTTTTCTAAACAAAGTCAATGACATACCCCTTCCCATTCTGTTCATGGATTCGGGTAATGATAGCGTGTTTGCGGTCAATGCGACCCCTTTTGAGCGCCCCTTAGCGTTGGCCGCGTATATAACTATAAGAAAACTACTGCCCGATGGAAGACGTTTAGCTGTAAATGAAGGCCAGGCAGAGGTGATATTGGCCCGCAGTTTGTGCTGAATTGTGTCGTGAATTTCTAGTATGAAATGTTGCAGAAGACCCCCGTCGTAGCCTTCGACACAGTCTACTTTGATTGAGTCCTCGGTTACATTAAGTACTGTACAATTCTTGACAGCATCGGGAGGTCCGGCAGGTATAATAGTGAAAGTGCACGGCTCCACTTGCGGACCAACCGAATTGCGAGCCCAACAAAACAGGGCCCCGTAGTCAAACTCAGTCCGCGGCATATATGTAGCCACACTTGTCGACCCTTCAGTCATATGGTTCATGATCTCCATGTGCTCACCGCTAGAGTTAAAACCCCATCGAAAGCTGACTTCTGGCGGATCGGAGTCCACTTCGCAGTAAATCTTGACCGACTCATGTCTGGCCGCACCGTAAAGTATTTTTTGACCTAAAATTTATTGCATTTTTGTGTTAATATAAATAAATAAATAAAACATAAAATAACAATTTAGAAAATAGCAAAAATGTATTTTGTGTTTATGATAAACGATACAAAATTATTTTATGCTATAAAAGAAAAACAAGTGATTTGTGAAACACATGTCATGTACTGTATGTCCACAAGAGATAAGTGAATGTAACAAATAACAAGAAACAACAAAAAATCGATACAAACCTTGTTTACATACCGGTGCGTACTGTACTCTCAGATGAACTGAATTACTTTCACCCTCGCCCTCATTGTTAACAGCACTGCACGTATAGCGACCCCTCTGGAGGCGCTGTACTCGTTGGAGAACAAGTGACTGATTGCTGACTATAACTCCTGCCGATGTGTTGGTATGTATTTCTTTGCCCTCAAACCACCACCTAATCTCCGTAACCCAGGGCGCCGCCCGAATATTACACTCAAAATATACATCATTGCCCTCTTGGATATGTGAATGCCTTAATTTACTGCCCAAACGTAATGATAATTGCGGAACATCTGTATCGAGAGAGAGGAAAGACCGACAAAAATTGAAAAAATTATTTAATAAAAATTATTTGAAATTTTGTTCACTTGAGAATTCATTGTTGAAATACTCTATATTACATAAACATAGTGTAAAAACTAATGTTTTATTGCAAATTGTGTTTCAAATCAAAAAATTATATGTTATATGAATAAAGAATATTTTCCAATAAAAATCTATATAAAATGTAATCAGTAAAATATATTTATAAAAAAAAATAATTAGCATATTATCTAACTTTAAATACTGTAAAACACGATAGTTGTTATTAGTGTTGCATAATAGCACCGGAAAATAATTTTGATAAATGAGTTGAGTTTTTTTCAATTAGTCAAAAATTGACTTAATTTCCCGAAACTATAATCACTGAGAAATATATTTTGCATAATACACATGCATATACATTATATATAAATATAATACTTATATATATAATATTATTATCCAAACATTATTTATAGTTTGTAAGTAAAAAGTATATAAAATAATATAAGTATATTTGCATTAAACTTAAATATCTGTAAAAACCTTTCAACAAAGTCGCTAACAAAATGGTTTGTCATTAGTTTCGCATCAATGACATAAAGTTTGACTAACTTTGTATTTTTGCTGTTCTCTCTCTCTCTCTCTCTCTCTCTCTCTCTCTCTCTCTCTCTCTCTCTCTCTCTCTCTCTCTCTTACAGTGATTATTATATTTATGAGATTAAATAGTGGACTTCATTGTAGTTGTACTCAAAATATACGGTAAAGCTGTGTTGCGCTCCGATATTGTACTCAAATATATTATATCTTAAACCCATTGGGGATGAGGGAGACGAAAGAGTACACTCATAGAAAATGAGTTATACGTTAATACAATTAATTGCTTTGAAAATTATACCCAAATGCTAGTGTCAATAGTTTATTGTATTTATTATTAAACTGTACTAAATTACTATAATAAGTTACTATTGTTTTTCAATAATGTTTATAATTTTCTTTATAATTATTAAAGTATAATGCATATAAATTACAGTAATATTTAAATAATATATAAATAATTTAAAGTAACTAAATATTTTGGAAAAATTATAAATATATATATATATATATATACAGTATCTATTAATCAGTATATATTAATTTAAACTTGTTAATATAGTCATCAATAAAGTTATTTCTTAAAGTTATTATGATACTAATATTCATCAAACAATTATAAGCATATATTTAAATATTCTAATAAATGCTAAATTCTTAATATTTGTTATAAATTTGTAAAAACTAAAAATAATTTTCTAAAATATTTTACTAATATTATTAATAAAAGTAATATATGACACAATAAACTATCGATTCAATTATATAATTCTTTATTTTACAAATAATTTTCTAATATTATATCATAAATTTTTACATACATTATAATCTATTTTTCAATTATTTAGGCTTTACTAATATTAATTATTTATATGAATGACATAACTATACTAAATATTCTAGAATATACTCTTAAAATAATAAAATTTATGCATAATATAAATTATTTACAGTATTTTGATAATAATGTATAAATACTCGTTTACAAAATAAAATAATTATACAAAGTAAATACAAATTCAATTTTTAATGTAAATAATTTTTTTTAAAAATAAAAAACGACATCAACTTAATTTTTATCATAAATAAAGGAAATGTGAAGTAAAAGTCAATCATAATTTCAAAATATCTAATCTATTTATTTTTCTGTATTATTACTTTTTACTCTAAAAGCAATTTTTTAAAAAACATTTTAACTTATTCAAACTATATATCATTTAGTTTATAAATGTCTACATTATTTTATTTAATTTATTGAATGGCATATCATAATTGCAATTAAAATAAAATTTGTGTCTCACGTGTATATACTGTTTAATTTATGCGTTTAATATTTAAAAATGATTATTTAAATATTTAATTAATAGATTAAAAGATATTTTCATTTAAGTTAACATTTAAAAGAAATATATACTTGTTTATTTCAATAATTAAAAATTTATATTTATTTATAATAATTATTTATTTTTATTGTATTTATTATATATTTTGTATTAGTACAGTAATATAGTATAATACTAACATAATATATTAAAACTATTGATATAAAATTTGTTTAAAAAGTATATAAAGTAACTTCTAAATAAAAAACAAGAGACAATTTTAATATATAACAAATTAAAATTAATTATTTTCTAAGTTATAAATCTTATAGGTAAAATTTCAGAGTAATTTAACTTAATTAACATAAAAGATTCAATTTATATGTTTAAAAATTTCCTAAATTCCAATCCCATAACATTTCAAATTAAATAATTAAAATTAAACTACTTTTCAAGTTTTTTTAATACATTAAATAAGCTTGGTAGTTCCAAGTTTTATTTTTATCTTTTTATTTTATATAATAATAAAAATATAAACAAATTTATATTATTTTTAAATTAATATTTAAAAATACTTCATTTTATATTCATTAATTGTCAATTTATGTTTAATTGCTACAAATAAATTTATTAATCATAAATATATTTAATAAAACTTTTAACAATATGTTTTGGTGTTAAACGTCGATTAATTGTAATAAATATACAGTAATTACATACTGTATATTCAAAATCATTTTATTATTTTGTATATACTGTTATATGTTGTATATATTGTATATATTATGTTGTATATGTTGTATATAATGTTATAAAACTTAATGATAAATCATCTGTTATTGTTAATTATATATAACAACTTGTAATTTACAACTCCACAACATAATACTCATATTAAAAAACAGCTTAAATATTACATTTCTCAATGTTTGCAACAAATAAATACGTGTAAAATATGTGAGATATTTATCTTGAAAAACATGTAAATATTTTACTGAAAATTTAAAAAATGATGTAAATTCTGATGACATTATAAGTCATATTAAATGAGTTGTAAAATGTTGATATATTTTCAGTAGTTTTTCTTAGATATTGCTGAGAAAGACTATAAATATTACTTAAAAGTGTCGCCACTATTACCGGTGACTTATCAAACATTCCCAAAACGTGCAAACCTTAAGCAATGGTTGTTCACAAAACAACAAATCAAATAAACTTCTCTATGCTTTCACATCTCATTATTGATGTCTGTCCTATGGTTAGGTTATATAACTTATCGCTATCTAATTGAGTGCATCTTATTTATAATAGCACTAAAATTTAACTGAAGAAGAAGTCAATGATTTCAATAGTTATAACCAGTCAATGGTTTGTCACTTCGCATCAAATTAAATGTTGCAAAGTGTGGCCTAAAACACAAAATCATTGTCAAATGGTTGGGCACTGGGAATGGGAATCAACTTTATATATAATACACGAAGAAATTAATGATATGTTGTCTGATTCACACTCTAACTGACTCTCACTTTCATTGATTTACTATTTCCTATTGAATAGTAAATTAAATGAATAAATAATTGGAGAGTAAGTCTCTTAAGATATGTCTTCTTATTTGATAATATGATCGTTAAGTGTTATGTCAGCACTCGATGTGAATCCAGTTTTTCACTAAACATATGAAATATTAATTCTCACAAAAATAAGTAATAAAAGACAACACAATAATCGCAATGATATATACAATGAATGTCTAATAAATGGTCTGTTATGCGACCATATAGTGTATTAGATCATCCAAATAGTTAATAGACATAAATCTGGCGGTTGTTTAATAGATATGTACTTTCTATTTGTTTTTTCGTGTTGTTGTCTATAAAATATATTCAATTAATTTTAGTTTTATATTTAGTTCAATGGACTAAACAAATGTAATCTGATTTGGGTTTCAGTAGTTTTTTTGTCGATGCTTTCAGTTTTATATATTATATATAAATATATAAAACTTTATACTTATATGTATAATTGATATATATATATATATAAACTACAAGATTTTGCTTTTATTACATTTAGGAAAAATAATTTGCTTCACATCTATTGGTTTCGCATCAATTCACAAATTATTTATAGATTTTTTGGTTTTTTTGTTTTAAATCAAACTTTCAGTTAAAAAAATAACAATAAGAAATCTTTGAAACAGTAGATGAAAACAACAAATAAAACAAAATATTTATTATAAAAGCACATCTGATATTTAAAATGTTAAGGTTTCGTATAATTATATGTTTAAATATAAACATCACTTGCAATGTGTGTATATCTCTTGTATGACATGTAAAGAGTAGCGGATTTTTTGTTATCTCAAGTGTGAAATTTGAGTACATTTTGTTGGCCAACGGTTTGCTCTTCAGATAAAATATTGACTCAAATACTATAACAAAAATTTTGTATTACCTTCGCTTCACTTCATATATAAAAACCAATAGATTTTTGAGTGTCTTTATGGGGGGAAACCATTCATATAAAACATAAATAAAAATCTAATGTTATCTTAAAAATGATATATCTATAGTTGAATATTAGAGTATATTATTAGAGAATATTATTAAAAAAATATTAATTTTATCAAATATAAAAAACAGAAATATTTAATAATTGATAAAGTAATATTTGAATAATTATTATTTTTAGATAAAAGATATTTCTATAAAAATAACAAAATTTAAGTAAAATTTATTTTTGTTATACAGTATGACATCTTACTGTATATTTTAAATGTTATTAATAACTTATTATTGTTGACCAGTTTACTCATAAGCATTTGTACAAAATAGACAAATATATTATATACACTATAGTATATATATATAAACTTTATATATTCAAAAATAAGCAATTTTTCAGACTTTTAGTTGCCATAAATTATATTGTCATTACTATCCCCATAGGGACAGCCGTTTTTGCAAACACTATAAGACTCTCTCAATACTATATAAATTGACTGTTTTGCTTAAAAAAGCATTTCATATACTTTGAAAAAAATCCCAAATATTCAGATTGAAATGTCAGTAAATAGCAAAAGAGATATTCAAACATAAGATATAAATTTAAATCAATGTCATGAAACACACAAAATAATAAAATGACCAAAACTTTATGTATTAAAACGTTAAGATTGTCTTGAAATGAATGACAACAATATATTGATATAAATATTAAATGTTTTGTTAATAAACATTTGATTGAATAAATACAATAACATTTAGTCGATTCTAAAGTTTCAAATGTTATACATTATAAATAAAACCTTTTTTTTTGAATTCAATAGTAATTTTGTGTCAATAATCACTGTTGAATACAAAGAGGACATAGATTACATCAATTTGACTGACAATTCATATAAAAATTTTAATTTGATTTGCAATCGTATTCAAAGATAGCACAAACAAATAAAAATGTTTGTTTTGTGATTTATTTATATTTTTAAAAAGTTAAATTAAAAATAAATATAATAATTATAATAATTAAGTATAAAATATAACTTACAATAGATCTCTAGTTTCCATCCGTCTTCAATAGCACTGGACTGAATCAAATTGTTTTCAGCCCTACAGGACAGGTATTTGCCGCTATCATCACTGCTCGGTGTAAATGTCAACGTACTGGTCGTCACATTTCCGTCGACTGATATCTTATCTCTGGTTTTCTTCATTTTGATGCTCCCTTTCCACCAACTGATGGTTGCCGGCGGACGCGAACCGGCAGAAGTGCAGACAACTTCTACCGATTTGTCGGCCGATAACGGCTTGCGGTCGCCTTCAATGCGGACCAAAACTGGACGAACTGTTCAAATTAAATATTTTAGTTTTAATAATACAAATAATTATAAACAATATAAAAGTAAATTTAGTAAATAATAATAATTATTATTTGTTGTTACATACAATATAATTTAATATAAAGATAGTAATAAAAACTTTTTATAGTGAAAAGTAATTCTCATAATGTCATCTAAAACAATATATAAGCAGTTATTTATAAAATAAAATACAAATATTTTTTTTAGTTTAAAATAAATTGAAAGTATTATTATAATAAAATGGTATTTTATAAATTTTAAAAAGAAATATAATCTAATAAAATTTAAAAAGTGTTTTCAATTATATTTAATTATATATATAAATGCTATTATTCAATAGTAGTATAAAATATTTTATATAAAAATATAAAGCAAATTATAAAAATAAAACAAAAATTTACTGAAAATTATTTTAGTTTTATCTTTATTTTCAATTTATTTTTCATAATTCGTTGAATATCTGAGCTTATGTTGCATTACTATGAAGTTTATAATATGTATTTTACTATATATTCTGTATATAAACAGTAAATAATATAATGTTTTTTAATAAAAACAAAAAAAAATTATTATTTTAAAAGCATATCTTCATATGTTTTGTATATATAATAAAAAATAAATTTTATGTAAATTAATATAATTTAGTTTTAATCATTTATAATCATTTTACAGTTAATTTTTATTTTAATGGTTGGCTTAATGAAAATAAATATTTTTAACTAATGTAATATTTGTATGCTTAATATTCATAATTAAAAATTAAGAATATTATAAATTGAATAATAAAAATAAATTTATAAAAATTTATATTTATTCTGCATATTAATTATTTTGTTTTTATACATTTACATTTAGCATTTTTAATTTAAAAATTGAAATAAATTATTCATTTTATTTGTTAATTTATAGTAATTAATTTTTAAATTTCACTCATATAAAATAATTTAATTATTTTTATAGAATAATACAATAGTATAGAATTAGTATTTATTTAATATTAAATAAAATAAAATAATATTATACTACAAAAAGCAAAATAGAAATATGATATAATCAATAAATTTAAAATTTTATTTTTATTCAAAATATCAATTGTTATCAATAAATATAAAATTAGAAATATTGTTGATATTATAATTCATGGCAAACCAACGTATATTTAATATTATAAAATGTTTTCGTGACCTAATTTCATAATTATTTATAAATTAATAACTTATTATTATATTTACTTATTTGATAATTGGGACATAATCATTGTAGAAATTGAACATTTATAACATAAACATACTGTACATATATTATAAAGTATATATTAGAGAGAAAAAATAATAGTAAATATTTATGTCAATAAAATGATGATCTCAGACATTATATAAGTCTCCTTTTTATTACTTAAGTATTATAATGTGTCTCTAATATGTGCCCTAATATCAACAATAGCAATCATTAATTAAAATTATTATTATATAAACTGTAATATACTGTGTATATAATTACATATAATTAATCAAGAACAACTATCTATTAATATAATATTATTTTATAAGTTATATATATAATATGTTATAGTTATATAGTGTATAAATTATATATAGTAATGCTTCTTAATATTTTTGCTTTTGACAGATATTTTCCAATATGAATAATATGTTAAATATATTATTATATTGAAAACAACTATAAATAAAAATATAAGTAATGCAGTTAAATATTAAAACATAATCCTTGTATAAATATAAATAAAAAATACTGATTTATAATATTTACAGGAATACTATCATTATATAAAAAATCTTATTGTAAATAATAATTATTTTATTGTTTTCTATTGAAAAAATTTCCGGCTTTTAGTTCTATCTCATCTATCGATATATTAAACGATTACTTTAATAAAAATCTTATAATTGAAAATTCATTGGTCAATAATATATCCTTTTTCTACAATAATAATATTAATACAATTTCCTAATTCTTGATAAATGTTACATTCAATGTATATATTTTTGTTGGCTTATATTATTGCCTTAAGTCTTAGGAAAAACTATATACAATATAATATATATATATATATATATATGTATTGGTGATTACAAAAAATAATATTATTTCAATTATATATATATATATAAACATAATCAATGATATTAATGTTAACAAAAGATAGGAATGTTACTTATTGGATGTTATTAAACATATAAAATATAGCATTTGTAATGATATATATAAAAAAAACCATAAAATAGTTTGTAAATATTTTTAATTTTCAGTGGTATTTACAGTAATATCTAACAAATAAAAAATCAAAAGAAATTTTATCATTCCTTAGATATAAATTCAGTCAAATAGCCGACAGCTATACTTCTGTACCAAAAAGTTCAAACCCTTTTCCATTGAGATCTCACTCTCCTATCTCTAGAGTCGTGTCTATAGCTATAAAAGACTAACTAAATAACAGTAATATCTCTCACATTTCCTTCATTATAACAATTATGGCTAAAAATTAGATAAAATATTTATTTAATAAAATGCATTTAATTTAATAGTAGAATAAAGTGTATTAAATTCATATTGTATGCTCAAAGCCATTATAATTATTAGTGAAAACTATTTAATATACTAAAATTTTTCAATGAAAGGTTATATTCATAAACAATTTACACTAAATTTTGTCTGTAAATTATTTGTTGGCACATTCATTGCTAGTATTACTAAATTACAGTAAAGTGAGTTGTGTTAATAATGTGGAAATAATTAAAAGTTGGACTGTTTTTTAAATAAATAGACAAAATATTGTAAAAATGAGGCAAAAGTAAACTGAATACGGAATGTAAATTATTTTGTGAAAAATGTCAACGCGTTATATAATGATAATAACAACCACTGTATAAATATACTGTTATACATATGATATACAGTATATGAATGCATATATAGTTATAATATAAACAGTTAAGGATATATACGAAATAACATTATAGTGAAGATATTATTGTGTTGTCATTGGCGTACATTTGGCTGTGAGTTGAATGACATTCACCGATAACACAAAAAGCATTGCAAATATTGAATCTCTTTTCGCTGAATATCTCTTTGTTGTTGTTTTGTTGTTATTCTAGTGTTTAAACAACAACAACAACATCAACAACAACTGGGATAATAAAATTTAGTGACAAAACAGAGCGACAGAAATACTAGAAAATCATAGAATATTCTGTATTTGAATAGAAAGATATACACAAACAATGTTTGAATAAGTTATGGCATTCATTGTATAGTATATAACAATCTTATATTAATATAATCTAAGATTGAAAGCTAAGCGCTGATTATTTGCTTGTCTTATATAAGTAAAACGGGTCTTAATGTACATATGAGTTGACTTATGGCGCAGTCATTATAGTCTTATGTTTATAATTAGATTAATTCCTATTAAAATCTCAATCTCTATCCTAATTTTTATGGCTTTCAATTTCCATTGCAATCTCTATCATCACATGTAATAATTAGATGATGCGATGCTTTCAGTTTAGGAAACGGTAACTAAAAAAGCAATTTCAAAGTCATTTAATACTTTAATGTTGTCTCTCTTTTTTTCATTTAAAAAAGTCGATTGTTTTTGCTCTCAATCTTTCACTAAATAATACTTTAATTTTGAAGAAGAAAATTATAAGTTTAAAAACAAAAGACAAGTTAAAAGAAGAATAAATTGCTTATAAAGTAAATGAAAAGTCATTGCAAAAAAACAACCAAAATCTCTCTGTTCTCTCAATTTCGGAGTTCAAAGATTACAAAATTGAAAGTAAATCACAAAAAAATAGTTAACACAAAAAAAAAAAAACAAAACACAGTCGACTATAATATAATATCGCATATAGTTATGTGTATCTAATGCAAGAGGGAGTGCAATATAGTTGGAGTTTAGATATATTTTTGTTTGTGTATGTCTTGTGTTAATTTGATGCCAAAAAACAATATATCGATTTCTTAGTTTGTTTTTCTTTTTCTCACAACTTTCCACTCAATTCATGAAAACGTTTTGTTAATTTTGGTGCAAATTTTCACACAAAAAATATTCTGTTGATTTAATTTGTAATGTCTTTGCAGTGAAAATAAATTTTATTAAAATTTTTATTTAATAAATTACTTATTTAAACAATAGATTTATAAAGCATTATAAGCTATACATAACTTCTAAACAAAAATAATACAATTAAAAGATAATGTTTGTATTAATTGTGACTCAAATAACTCATTTTTATCTAATAACAGTATATAATAATTTATAACAATAATTAGTTTAAAATTACGCCAAACAATTTTGGCATAGCTTCTAAAAATTTTAATATATTTAACATTAGCTGTTGTGTTAAATATAATTATTTTTCCTTTAATTTTAAACAAATAACTATTTTATAATTTTAAAAATTGTTTTATTATATGCTTAATGAAATAAATAAATCTATGTAAATCATAAAAGTTAAAATAAACTTATATTTAAGCATAAAATAAAACTATTTATTTGACATCAAAATAATTAAAAAATTGTTAGTGACATACATAAGAATAATCTGTATATACTAAACAAATAATGTTTGGTTTTATATAAAACTATGAAATATATTTTGTGCGCAAAAACAATAATGAGATGCAAAGACAACACACAAAAAGTGAGTATAAATTAGGAGACAAACAATTGACTGACAGAGTGTTGTCCGCAACAAATGCCGTCAGACGTCAAGTGGAGTGCAAAACAAAAAACTCTTTTGTGATATAAATCTGGTTTACAAAACACAAAAGCAATCTCACAGTCAAAGGAAAACCTTTTTTAATTAATATATTCATTATAAACACAAACAAAAAGTCTTATAAATTAGTGGCAAAGTTTGTTTCGATAGAGAAAATATAGCAAAAATTTATTCATGAGTTTGTATGCCTTTAGTTACAATACAAAAAGCAATTAATCTTTGAATTTCTTTATTAT